TTAATTCTATCTTGCATTATGTAAGAACTATGACTAAGCTACAACTACTAGTTTAGGCTCAATTCCAAGTGAATTTTCATTTCAGAATATGAGCTGAAAAGGCAGTCATTGGGAAGGCAAGATTAGGAACACAGAATGAAACCACTTAAAGGCATTTAAAGTGGCTTATGGCATGTCTTCTCATATTCTGTTAGCAAAACAAAGTCATTGGCAAAGTACAGTTAAAGTAGCAGGGACATATATGCCACCTACAGGAAAGCATGATAAGGGAGGGAAAGAAATAATTGTGAACAAATAATGTAATCCGTTCACTGTCCACTCTCTAGACTCAAATAACTATGTGCCCCTTAGAGGTAAAATCCACTTAGTTGCTCCCTGACACCCCCAAATCTCTTTAAAACATGGCACCAGTCTTGATTTCAAGACCTTTTGATATAATCATGTACAATGTGGCTTTTCTTGTTCCAGAGACCACTGAATTAGGACACATTATTTGCCCACCAAAAATTCAATATATAACCGGGGATGAATAAGGACAAAATTGTTGAAATAAACACCCTGTTTAAAAGGGAAAATATGTCAGTGGCTCATAGCAATTCAGAAATTATTGTCTGCAATCATTATAAGCGTTTCTGTCCTTAAGGCGCTAAGGCTAATTTATTTGTTGAACCCTTTACATTTGCATTTTTTGCCCTAAAAGTCATGAAATTTCTAGTTTCCTCCTCTTCTCTTTAGAAAATACATGATTTTTTTTCTGAGCTGACCTCTTTCTTGTAGTATCTTACCAAATACAGCTAATAAAAATCAACTCATATTATAGACATTCCCTCTTAATATCTCTTCTCCTAAAGCCATAGCTTCATTAGGTACATTTTCTGCCTTCCAACTTATCCTAGGAAAATATTTATCAAAGTAAAACACAGTCACCTTCTAGCATACTATAAGCATTACTTCATACTTTGTTCTTCAAACACAAATCCACATAATTTACTGTTGTTGGTTCCTTGGTCAAATTAACTGGTGAATCCTAAATTCAATGGGAAAATATCTTCTAATCACTGGAAAGCATGGCAGAGACAGGGAGAGAACAATTAAATCTACCAGGGAAGGTAAGAGAGACACCAAGTATTTCAGGATGAGAAGTCAGTAAAATACTATTCCAAACAGAATTCTCTGAGGAAGACAAATGAGAATGAATGCTGTATAATGATTGCAGCCTCTGACACAAACATCTTAAGTAGTTTTCCAATGAGGTTCTCTGAACAATGAATTCATTCTTTTTTTTTAATGTATCTTTATATCATCTTCATTTTAAATGCAATTTAGTGTGCTAAAGATTACTAGAGTAACAGTTTTTCCCCCTTCTCATCAATTTTGAACACAATTCTCTATTGTCATCTGTACTCTGCTTTTGTTGATAATAAGTTCATAGTGAGTTAAATGGTTTTCTCTTTAGTTTTGTAATTCTAAACTTCACCATAACACATCTAGGTGATAGTATTTTTCCACTCTGTTTGGAGCTTCTAATAAATATTTATCTAAGGTTTCATGTCTGTATTTATTCTTGAAAACTCTTAGTCTACTTTTTTTTTGTTTTGAACACTGTCTCACCATTTTCTTTGGTGTCTTCATATGAAAGTCCTATGATTGTACATTGAAGCTTTTTTTCCTTTGGTACATCTCTCTCTCTCTCTCTCTCTCTCTCTCTCTCTCTCTCTCTCTCTAATCTTCACCTTCTCAGATACATTCTGGTTAATTTTCTTCAAACATATCTTACAGTTTACTTACTATGTATTCAGCTGTGTCTAATCTATTCCCCTAATGTCAATGTCTATGTTGCATCTTCTGTTGATTGATAAGTACAGTTTTTCCATTTTTCATTTCAGAGCAAGCCCTGGTTTCATACCAGACACCTAATTCTAGTAACATCTCTACTAAATTCCTGTAATTATATACTTCCTCCTTTCTCCAGGGCTAACAAGCTAAGATGCTAGCTTCCAGTGCCTATATCCTGCCTTATATTCTCTCTGGGCTCTCACAACATCAGCTTGTAAATTTCCCCCTTGAAGTGCAGATTCACTCACAATGCTACAACCACATGAAAATATAAATTAAAATTTATTGAAGGAAAATATAATGACATCAGTATCAGAATGCACATAATTCCCTAAACCCTTATTTGTCCAGAGTATGACATTTAGGCTTCACAGAACTCTACAACAGAGCTCCTGTAGAAAGGAACTCCCACTCCTATAATGTTCTCTATATTTTCAAGGTCAGGAGACAGAGAGCACTTCAGCACCTGGGCAACTGCAAGAGGGGAAGCTCCCTAACTGAAGAGGTGGCTATATTGGAAAGAAGGAGCCTCTGAGTTCTATAGCTGGTGCCAGCTTATAGAGACTAGACTTGTCATATCAAACAAGTCTTCAACTTGTTTTTCCTCATTCCTCTAAATTTAAGCTCCTTTTTAATATTGTTGAGTTGTTGTCAAAATGTTGATTATGTATACACCTACATTTCTTTTTTTTGTAAATATTATGAAGGTTGGTTCACTCTTGGCGACTATATTTTCCATGGAAAAAAATTAGAAAGTGTGTAGAGAGAATGTTTTCTATGAATGAAACGTCTGTTACACCAAATGCCTACTACAGAGTCTATAGCATTTTTGATGCCTTAATTATTTTAAGATAAAATTTCTCCTTATCTGGGAAAGTTAAATATACTGGAACATTTATGATTTAAATGCCTGGATGTGAAGCTTAGACTTGTTGAGAAATGAGGTGGTGCAATGTGTATTATTGAATTTTAGGTATCAAATTGTTTATAGTACATTAGTAGTGTCTTTTTATTTCCTTAGTTTGAATATATGTGAATAATTTCTAAGTGATATTCTACCTCATTAGCAAGTTTTAAAGATACCTCTAAATAGTGCTAATGTTACCTATTTTGGTGTTAAGACTATATAATTTTATGTGACATAGAGATACAGATATTATTTCATGTTTTTTTCTGAATATTCCATGATTTCATATGCCACATGTGATCCTTTTCCAATAATTTCTTAGACTCCATCATAAAATATTAATGATTAGCTGAAATACACTTAAGAAAGGAAGACTTCATGGGAATAATAAAAGAGAATTTGGTTCATTGAAGCTTGTACCTTTTATTTTTTTAATTTTTTTTTTATTTTGCGGTACGCGGGCCTCTCACTGTTGTGGCCTCTCCCATTGCGGAGCACAGGCTCCGGACGCGCAGGCTCAGCGGCCCTGGCTCACGGGCCCAGCCGCTCCGTGGCATGTGGGATCTTCCCAGACCGGGGCACGAGCCCATGTCCCCTGCATCGGCAGGTGGACTCCCAACCACTGCACCACCAGGAAAGCCCTTGAAATTTAATTATACTTCATGGCTTAATAATGTGGACTTATCTATGATTTATAATTTTCTTTCAAACATATTTTCTTCATGGAGCAAAAGCCACATAAAAGAACGAGGTCACATAATCTTATCCTTAGAATCGATATTTTAAAGTGGCTTTACCTAACTATGAATTAGTCCTGCATTTCTTTAACAATGGTCTTTTAACAATAGTAGTTTGACAGAGTATTTAAATTTGACTAATTTAATCATTCATTTAGTAGTCATTTATCCAGGGCTGGGCAACGATCTGAATATTTAAGGTTACAAAGACAAATCAAGCATCATTCTTACTTAGAGGGACTCACAGTAGGGGAGATATGCACCTATGGAAATAAATATAGCATAAACGTTCATGGGAAAGTGCTATGTAACAGGAAATGAGGGTTAATTAACTCTCTGCTAATTCTGCAACAGAGGTCAGAGAAACTTGTAAGTGAGCTTTTAAACAAAGGAATGTGAATGTGGAAAAATTCTGGGCTGATTTAAGGATGTGCAAACTGTTATATTTTCAGAACAGGCAGTATTCCATCATGTATGGAGTGTACTGAGAATGATGCTGGGAGGTAAGGCTGGGGACGGCCTTTCATACTGACTTGTGGAGAGTCTTTATTGACATCCCACGCTGTCTGCTTCGTTACAGTTTTTAAACAGTATGTGTAAGTAGGACAGCTCCCCTACAGAAATTTTATGATAATTAATGGTTATTCTATAAAATGTCATCCACAGTTTCTGCCACATTAGAAATACTCAAATATGTTTCTTTCCCTTTCTGAGGGTGTCATAAACACCATTTCATTCTGAGCTCACAGAACTGACACTCTCTCCCCTTGAATTGCCTGATAGTTTGTGCTCTGTATTCACAAGGTTCATATTCTACTTTGAGATCAGACTTTATTATATTAGCCGTACCCTGTGGTTGGATGGCATATTTGTGTATGTGAAAAGTGTTCATTCCTAACCTGCAGGATTTTTTTTTAATTTCAGTAACAAAGCGTGCATTTTTGACTATTTTGCAAGAGTAGAATGCCCATATCAAAATGTATTATGAATATCTCCATGAACTCCTTAGTAATACATAACTACTTCAGCAAATGCAGGATATCATTCCTTAGTACCACTATCTCATTTTTAGTATCCAACTGAAATGGATATCTAACACAATGACAATTATCTGCCAGGCTCAGGAGACCACAGATGGAGTGATTTCTTTAGTCTTGTGTATAAAAGGAAGACCATACAAAACAAAATATTCCCATTTAAGATAATAGTAACATGATATTATATGTTCAAGTATAGTTGACCCTTGAACAACATGGAGGTTAGGAGCATCCAACCTCTATGCTGTCCAAAAATGCGTATAACTTATAGTTGGCCCTTTGTATCCAGGTTCCTCAGTATCTGCAGATACAACCAACCACAGATCTGATCATGTATTCTTGTAGTACTTACTACTGAGAAAAATCCATGTAAAAGTGGACGCTTGTAGCTCAAATCTGTGTTGTTCAAAGGTCAACTGTATTTCAATCTGTTTTACATAAATGAATAGTGATAAGTGCAAATCAGAAGAAACAGGTACGTACTTTGAGGAAACCATGGGGGGTTGTCATTGACATCTGTCAGGGTGATGTTGACCGTGGTGGATCCCGACAGCCCTCCAACTTGCCCAGCCATGTCTTTGGCTTGAATAACCACTGAGTAATGTTCTCTGGCTTCTCTGTCCATATTATGTAAGGCAGTTCTAATAACTCCTGTAATACATATTTTAAACAAAACAGTATGGATTATACATTAAATGAGAAGCAACATAGGTATCTCTCTCTTTTTTCTTTTTTCTTTTAAGAAAAGTAGTTTTAACTGAAATGCTTTTGAGAGAAAACCAGGCTTCTGAGACAAACAGTACCTTGACAATGTTATTAAAACTGTCTCATCGAAATATTTATTTATAACCATGCATCCCAAACCAATCTATTAGAGGCAAATGAAGATACCCATCTCTTGGCGGTCCTTGGGGTCACTGGCCTCTAGAGGGCAGCCCTGCAGTCCCTGCTCTTTCCTTCTGTTGGTGGCCTGAATATTTTACAACTCATTCTCCTCACAAGCATCAGCTAAGATGTTTTGAGCAGAGGTTAATTTTTCTCCTTACAGAACAATTTACATAGTTTTCTGACAGGGTTATCAAAGTTTGATGATGAAAAACAATGGCGGAGTGTAGACACTTGAACAAAGATTACAGGCAGGAGGCATTTTAACATTTATCAAGACTAAGAAACTGACTTTTTGTCAGGAAATACTACAATAAGAACTAGATCTAAGTATACAAGCAAAATACAGTGATGAGATTGGTTCCAAAACTTGCATGTAAAAGTCACATTCTTTGTCTTGTAGTACCAAAAAAGACATTTAATGCACTTTCTCATTAATTAATACTGGATTCAATAAAGAGATACAAAATGTTATATATCCATATGTAGTTCTGTGTAGGCAAACACACACACGCACACATAAATTAGATAGATTTGTCAATAAAGCCTTATATTTAGAAACTGGAACACATTTTCTAGCAGGTCAAGTTTATGCAAGGACTATCAAATATGTCTTAAAATAAAAAATTGTCCTCATATACATGAGCCATATTAAACATAAGCATATAAATATATAAGCATACATGTGTTTATATTTATATTTTATATTCATATAAATGTACAATATAAATATATTTGTTACTCCAAACATAGGTCACCATTTAACAACCACCTTTTTACTTTTATTCAAAATAGTTGGATCATGTCACTTTTTAGAAAGACACCAATGGCTTCAATCAAACTCACACTTGATTAGTTAGCAGCACAATTCATGGGACAGTGCCATTTATAATGACTGCCAACTATAGAGCTTAACAAACACTTTTACAGACAATATATTGATATAATAGGAGAAAATGGGTTTGTATATCCAAGTGGAAAAGATAGTCTTTTAAAAGTGGAAAGGATTAGTCAATCAGTTGTTTTGAATATAGAACACTTAACCACTTCCTTTTTTTTTTTTTCACTGAATTGATTGCACATGCAATGCTCTGAAAGGCGAGCCACAGGCCCCAGGAAAAGAGATCCCCCTACTTTCAAAACTTGTGAGCATATAATTGAGGGAATTTAGGAGAACTTTCCTGAAGCTAAATAGGAATGAAAATTATTCTTATCAAAAGAAATTACAATAATATGATAATAAATTATTCATCTAATTCATGCATATGAAAAAGCCTCAAGCATCCTTACTAAATAGAACATTTTATCACATATGGTAATTATATAAGAAAAAATTAAATTGATGCAGAAAGGAACAAGTTAAGAATTTATGAAACTATTTAATGAAAGAAATGTATACTCTCTGATATTTGAAAAAGAATGCCATTCTAAAAAGAATACACTAGAAATGGGACTTGCCTCTGATGTGCAGAAGTATAAGATTACTGTCCAGGATGTTTTACAATGAAATCATTACAATGATATTTGCAGAATATACATATGTGAAAATAAAATCTGTCATTAAAAAAGTGAATGATAGATATTTTTATGCAATTTGAATGTTATTCATTTCAGAGGATCAGAGAAGAGGAATTAGCACAACCCCTGTTTTACAGCATGGACTTTAATAATTTCATTGCAATAGCCATTATCTCCCTTCTTTTATAATACTGCTACTCTGACATGAAATGGGAAGAAATTTGTCAGCTAAATTTGCTTATGGAAAGAAAAGAGCATATCCAGAAGTGACACATCTTTCTCAGAAACGATTGTTTAAGGGTTCATTTAAACTCTCTGTTCTCTTGAGAAAGGCTCAGTTGCATGTGCTTAGCTATGACCTCCCCTGAGGGCACATAGGTAACTGGGGAATGTTCAGGCAAATTGCCATAGCAACATGATCCCTGTATACAATAATCTTATTCAAACATGTGGCCCAGATGCTTGTAAGTAGGGTAGCCTAGAACACAGCTGATGCACAGTAACATATTTTTTCCTCTTAAGTAGACTTTATTTTCTAGAGCAGTTTTAGGTCCATAGTAAAATTAAGAAAGTACAGAGAGTTACCATGTACCCTTTTCCTCCTGACACACACAGCCTCCCCAGCTAGCACCATTCTGTATTAAAATGATGCATTTGTTACAGGTGATGAGCCTACATTGACACGTTTTCACTCAAAGTACGTAATTTACATTAGGGATCACTCGGTGTTGTACATTCTATGGGTTTGGACACATGTATAATGATTTGTATCCATCATTCTAGTGTTGCACAGAATAAGTTAACTGCCCTAAAAATCCTCTCTGTCCCACCTATTCACCCTCCCTCCCCTCAACCTTGGCAACCACTGATCTTTTTACTGTTTCCACATTTTGCCTTTTCCAAAAAGCCATATAACTGTATTCATACAGTGTGCAATTCTTTGCAGATTGGCTTCTTCAATTAGTAAAAGGCATTTAAGGATCCTCCACGTCTTATCATGGCTTGATAGCTCATTTCTTTTTAGTGCTGAATAATATTCCTCTATTTGGATGTGCCACTGTTTATTCATTCACCTACTGAAGGACATCTTGGTAGCTTTCAAGGTTTGGTGATTATGAATAAAACTGCTATAAACATCTGTGTGCAGGTTTTTGTGTGGACATAAGTTTTCATCTCCTTGATGTAAATATCAAGGAGTGTGATCGCTGGATCTTATGTTAGGAGTCTGTTTAGTTTTGTAAGAAACTGCCAAATTGTATTCCAAAGTGGCTGTACCATTTTGCATCCCCACCAACAATGAATGAATTTCTGTTGCTTCACATTTTTGCCAGGTTTTGGTGTTGTCAGTGTTCAGACTATCACCATTGTATTAGGTGTATAATGGTATCTCACTGATGTTTTAACTTGCATTTCCTTAATGGCATATGATGAAAATTGTTTTATATGTTTATGTCCATATGTATGTCTTCTTTGGTGAGGTATGTTAAGGTCTTTTGTCCATTGTTTAAAATCAGGTTATTTGTTTTCTTATTGTTGAGTTTTAAGAGTTATTTGTATATTTTAGATAACAGTCCCCTATTAATAAGCCTTTTGCAAATACTGCCTCTCAGGCTATTACTTGTCTTCTCATTTTTTTGACAGTGTCTTTCACAGTTTAGAAGTTTTCAATTACTTTGAAATCCATATTATAAATTATTTCTTTCATCAATCACAACTTTGATGTTATACCTAAAGTCACAGCCTAAGATACCTAATGTCATCTAGATTTTCTTCTATGTTACCTTCTAGGAATTTTATAGTTTTATATTTAGGTCTGTGACACATTTTGAGTGACTTTAAGCTAAGAGTGTAATATCTGTGTCATTTTTTTGACATGTTGTTGTCAATCTGCTCTAGCACCATTTGTGGAAATAACAAATTTTTCTCCATTGTATAATATTTACTTCTTTGTCAAAGGTCAGTTGACTACATGCATGAGAAACAATTTCTGGGCTCTCTAATCTGTTCCATTGGTATACCTGTCTATTCTTTCATCAATACTACACAGCCTTGATTACTATAGCTTTATAGTAAGTCTTGAAGTAGGGTACTGTCAGTCTTCCTAATTTGTTCTTCTCCTTTAATATTGTGTTGGCTATTCTGGGTCTTTTGCCTCTACATACAAACTTTAAAACAAGTTTTTCAATGCCTACAAAATAACTTTTGGGGATTTTGATTGGTATTCCATTGATAAAGTTGAGAAGAACTGACAATATTGAGTTTTACCTACCCATGGACATAAAATATATTTCATTTTTTTAATAATACTTCTTGTTTCTTTCATGAGAGTTTTGTAGTTTTCCTTATATCAGTTTCATACCTTTTTTGTTAGATTGTACCCAAGTAATTCTTTTAGGAGAAGCTAACCTAAATCATATTGTGTTTTTAAATCAAAGTCAACTTGTTCATTGCTGGCATATAGGAAAGAGATTGACTTTTATATATTAACCTTGTTTCCTGAAACCTTGCTCTCTCAAGACTGCATCCTTGAAAATAACTCCCACTGTGGGAAATGTGGGCAGAACACACATTCCAAGGTCAGAGAAGGGGATGCGGAACCTCTGGTTGCCTGGGTCCAGCTTGCTGGTCAACTGGCATTCACATCCTCTGGATGACCTCCCCCAATATCCCTAACAACTACTACAGGTGATTCCAGTGTAAGTGGGTCAAAACTATGTTTTGAAAAGCCACAATTAGAAAGACAAAGTTCTGCCATTATGTATTCATACATTTCTTCCCTTTTTATTGCCATCTTGTCATGTCAATAAAAGCATGTATGAGGATATACACATGCGCACAGACAACAAACAATATGCAACAGTGATATACATTTTTCAAAATTGTGAAGCCTAAACTCATGTACAAGACTAGGATAAACTATATTTACACAGTCCAAATAAGAATTGATGTTTTGTTTTTTTTTTGTTTGGCTGTTCTACCATGTACCCACGGACCCAGTAATTGTAATATAACTTATTTTTGTCTTCCAAATAAACATAATAAGGACTTACCACATGGCCTTTTTATTAAGTAAATTTGTGAAGAAAACAACTCAGAGCAGCTAAATTAATCACCATAAATTATTGCGTTGTTTGTTTGTTTAAAAACAAAGAAAACTCTCCTCTTTTCAGTAAATGCTAGGTAACTGGTAATGGCATATTCTGAATATTTGATATCTTCACTAGCAATGTTTACTTCAAAAATTTTAA